TGTCCTGGGTTTGTTATGTTTGGCTTTGGGATAATTACAGCCTCCCTGGAAGGTTTTGAACCATAAAAACCTGATACATGCTCTCAGCCTTTCCAGCTTCATGTATTTTTTTGCCTTGAACTAAACAGAGGACTATATGCTGAGCTTCGGGTTACCATCCGTCCGGGTTTTCCCAGAGATGACCTCTTTTTTGGTCCTCCGATCTCTGTCCGGGTGGGCTTCTGAAATATGAACAAGTGTCTTCAGAACTCCATAGCCGGACAGCAGTGGCTGCTGGATGGCCGCCCAGCTCTGAAGACAGCAGTAAGGGTGGCATGGTACCCCTCCTCCGCTTTCAACTCCCCCTCCTCCCCTCCTCCTGGCAGTGTCCTCTATTCCGGAGCTTGAAAGATGGTAACCCTACCTCAGCTGGTATAAATTTGAATAACTCTGTGCACTTCAGTGGAGCTACAGCCGCGTTACAGCAGCTGCGGAGGTGTCCCTAGGTTCCTCTAGCCCCTAGGGACAGGTCAGTGTAACGTGAAATGCTTTGACTTGCTTGTGAGACGGCATCACTGACCTCATTCCCTGTTACAGTCTGACTGCCAGATCCCCAGCACGGGTACAGCACTGTAGCTCCCTTGCAATGTACAGAGCTTTGCTGATTCACAGCCGCTGAGGATCTGGCCTTGACGGCTCCATTTCCCAAGGTGCTCAGCACTCACCAGTGGCGCCACGGCTTTGGAGGGTCTCAGCTCTCATTTAGGTGCCAAAATAAGGGCCTAGATTTTCAGGAGGGCATCATGGGAGTTGTAGTTCACTTCTCTCCTGCCCCCATTCTCCTCCATGGGTTGGAACAGACTACATTTCCCATGGTGCACAGCAGCCTCCCCTCTGGCTGAGTCACCACAGTGCACCATGGGAGTGCGACACAGACATGACCAGGCAGGTGTATTACATCTGTGTCTGAGCATCGTCTCACTATTTCACCAAAAGGGGATCGTGTAGGTCTCTACTAAAAAAGAAATACTAGCTGGTTCTCATGGATATTGTGAATGTTTGCACAGGAAACATTTCTAGAGTTATGTAACATTTAGAATACTGGTTTCCAAAATTGGTGGAGAAGAACCTTATCACCTGAGGCTGGGTGGGTCTCAAAGCTGACTCAATCAACACTGAGAACAATCGACATCCACAGACACAAAGATGTGGACAAATTGGAGAAAGTCCAGAGGAGAGCAACAAAAGTGATTAAAGGTCTAGAAAACATGCCCTATGAGGAAAGATTGGAAAAAACAGCTCATTTAGTCTGGAGAGGAGAAGACTGAGGGAGGACATGATAATAGTTTTCACGTATATAAAAGGCTGTTACAAGGAGGAGGGTCAAAAATTGTTCTCATTAACCCCTGAGAATAGGAGAAGCAATGGGCATAAATTGCAGCAAGGGAGGTTTAGGTTGGACCTTAGGAAAAACTTCCTAATTGTCAGGGTGGTTCAGCACTGGAATAAATTGCCCAGGGAAGTTGTGGAATCTCCGTCACTGGAGGTTTCCACAGTCAACCTGTGGAACTCTTTGCCAGAGGATGTGGTGAAGGCCAAGACTATCACAGGGTTCAAAAAAGAACAAGATACATTCATGGAGGGTAGGTCCATTGATGCCTATTAGCCAGGATGGGCAGGGATAGTGGCCCTAGCCTCTGTTTGCCAGAAGCTGGGAATTGGTGATAGGGGATGGATAACTTGATAATTCCCTGTTCTGTTCATTCCTCTGGGGCACCTGGCACTGGCCACTGTCGGAAGACAGGATACTGGGCTAGATGGACCATTGGTCTGACCCCATATGGCCGTTCTCAAGGTAACAGTTTAAACAAACACCTGTCAGGACTGGTCTAGTTATTACGTAGTCCTGCTGTGAGCACAGGGGACTGGACTAGATGATCTCTTGAGGTCCCCTCCAGTCCTACACGTCTATCATTCTATGACCCAGCCCTGTGTTTTCAGCCTGGGGCAGAAGCAAACTTGATTTTGACAAAGGTAAAGCTCTGGGACTGTATAGGAGAAGGGAAGCAGGTACAAATGTGACATGGAAGCAACAATTCTGCCAGCAGGTGTCTCATGACCAGTGGATCCCAGCTCTCCGGAAGAACGGACAAGGCTCCCTCCTGCTGGGAGCAGGTAGCAGCGATTTACGCTGGACTCCTCGGGTTTCCCCGAGAGTGTCACAGGGAGTCCCTTGTTTGTAGTGGGAAGTGGAAACAGGCAAGGCCAAATCGTCCGAGGGTAGAGACCCCCTTGCAAGCTCCAAAGGCCTGTGAGTGAAGCACATGGTATTAGCTCAACAGTGCACACTGACTCTTGCAGATCGCCCGAGGTGCCCGTACTGGCATTGGCTGGCTCTGGGCCTCACATTGGCTGGGAACGTCGTGCTGCTGAGAGTTTTGACGGCGCTGGCTGCTCAGGGTGAGTGTGCCAAGACTGTGCGTTTGGGCTGCACAGCAACGCACCATGAACGCAGCACAAGTTGCTGGGCTCAGTGCAGGAATGCCCAGGTGGAATTCTCTGGCCTGTGCGATACAGGAGGTCAGACTAGGCCAGGGGTGGGCAAACTACGGCCCACGAGGCACATATGGCTTGTCAGACATTTTAATCTGGCCCTCGAGCTTCCGCCGGGGAGCAGTATCCCCAGAAGCAGCGGCATGTCCCCTTCCAGCTCCTATGCGTAGGGGCAGCCAGAGGCCCCAGCACACTGTCCCCGCCCCAAGCGCTGCTCCCGGTAACTGTGGCTAATAGGAGCTGCAGGGCCGGCGCCTGCGGACAGGGCAGTGCACAGAGCATCCTGGCCACGCCTCCACGTAGGAGCCAGAGGCGGGACATGCAGCTGCTTCCAGGAGCTGTTTGAGGTAAGCGCCGCCAGGAGCCTGCACCCCTGACCTCCTCCTGTGCTCCAAGCCCTGCCCCAGCCCTGCCCCCCTCCTGCATCCCAAACCCCTCATCCCCAGCCCGACCCCAGAGCCTGCACCCCCAGCCAGAGCTCTCACCCCAGCCCCAATTTCATGAGCATTCATGGCTCACCATAGAATTTCCATACCCAGATGTGGCCCTTGGGCCAAAACGTTTGCCCACCCCCGGACTAGACCATCATAATGCTGCCTTCTGACCTTGGAATGGATGAATCTATTACACTGCCGCACTCTAGGCCAGATTCTAACTGGTGCAACTAACTGGTGTTGCTCCATTCATTTGTGCCAGCTCGGAGTCTGCCCCCATTGACCCCAGAGGGACTTTGGCCAATTCACACCAGGTGGAGATCTGGCCTATTGACTCCAATGGAGCGCTGGCTGATTCACCCCAGCCCAGTCTTTTCCAATCTCTGGCTTGCAACAACCATCCACAGAGAAATTTTCTCCAAGGTTCCCTGATCCCATCACTGACCGGAGCTGTCCCAAAAACGATGGAGAACGAAACCTCAGCTCAGCCCAGTCCTAAAGGAAGAGGATGCAGCGACTTGGAGGAGTTCCGCTCTCATCTGCGGCAACATTTGTGTTTTACACAAAACAACCAGTCAGCAGGTAACCCCAGCTCATTCTGCCTCCCGCAGTCACTGTTACAGGCACTGACTGTTCCCAAAGCAGAGCCGCTCTCGCACCCCCTCTTCTCTCCCATCCCTTCTGATCTGTTTAATATCTCCAGGGACACTCAGCCTCAGCAGTGACAGTGAGTGGCCAGTGCAGGTAACTGCAGGCTTGAATCTTTCCGGCAATTTTAATAGAATCCTGTAGTTTAGCTGTCATGGGACCAAGATTCAGAGTAGCAGCCGTGTTAGTCTGTATCCGCAAAAAGAAGAACAGGAGTACTTGTGGCACCTCTCACACTTCTTATCAAACTGTCTGTACTGGGCTATCTTGATTATCACTTCAAAAGTTTT